GTATGGTACATTAGGGGCATACTGAAAGAGGTTGAGCCAGAGAGAAGGGTTTAAGGATGATTCCACAAGATATTTGGAAACAATTATCTTTGGTCCCAGTGATGAATGACGAGGGTATGGTCAGTCTGAGGTTGCACAGACAAGTGTAGGGCAGATGTCCTCGCAGAAGTACTTTCACATAAGGTTGCAGTGGTCTTTGTGTAATGTCAAGATTCTAGCAGAGTTTGTGGTAGTTACCCTTAGGCAATCAAGAGTAAAGACTCTTTCTTTATAACTTTCAGGCTTTATTTATTTCTTGTGTGTGTGTGTTATGTCAGCACAAATGACTCCTTTTTTTTTTTTTTTTGGTACCAGGAATCAAACTCGGGACTTCATGCCTGCAAGGCAGGAGCTGTGCCGCTGAGCTAAATCCCCAGTGTAGTGACTCCATTTTGATTCTGATAAATTTCACACTACCCACCACCACTAATTTTGCTTACATTTCTTAACATCCCTGAGCCTTGGCTGCCCTCTGAAAAAGGGGTAAAACAAACCTTGCAGGATTACTTTCTACATTAAATGAAATAATGTATAATAGCACATTTAAATAGCTTCTGTAAATATTAGATTTTGAACCCCCATAAAGATAATTATAATTTACATCTTAAAAGAAAAGTACAAGAAAGCAGTTTAAAATTTAAAATTTCATTAGAAATATACATTCTTAACCCAAGGTGCATTTGAGAATAAATATTATATTACCATTAGTAGGTGCTGGCTAGGATGTTGGCATACTTAAAATAATCTTATATTTTTCACATGTATTTTTATTTGATTGTAAAAGTACCGTATTTGTCATAAGAAATTAAGAAAATATAGAAACATGTAAAGGAGGAAAATCCCATCTTACAGAGATATATCCTTTTAATTTTTTAATATATTTCTTCTAGTTAGTATTCTAGATCTCTTCTCCCCCTCCACCTCTCTCTCTGGATATTTAGTTTAAATTATATTATGAATATATCTCTGGAAATATCTTCCAAAAAGTTCCTTTTAATGGTTGTAAAACATTCCATCAAGCAGCTGTGCAACAATTTAACACTTTCCTATTGCAAGATAGTTTCCAGTTTTTCATTAGTATAATTAACCTGGGTTCAAAGCACTCATACATACATAAATTAGTATGTTCTGAATTATATTCACCTATTTACTCCTATGTTTCCCCCACTAGACAATAAGTTTGGAGAAAGACTACTCCTGTTTTGTTTTGTTTTGTTTGTCTCTTTCAGACAGAGTCTTGCTATGCAGTTCAGGTTGGTCTTGAGCTCACTTTGTAGCTCAGGCTGGCCTTGAACTTGCAATGATCCTCCTGCCTCAGCCTCCCAAGTGCTGGGATTACAGGCATGCACCACTATGCCTGGCAAGATTATTCCTTTTTCCCCATTGTTACTCAGTGTTGCTGTTTCTTAGTTTTGTTAGTATTTTGCCTGGCACATAGCACCTATAAATATACCTAAATCCATGCTTTCTGTGAATGGAAAAAGAATGAGTAGATGAATAAATAAATACTAGTTTTCCCCCATGGAACTCAAGGAGGTGAAGTTAAACAAAATTAGATAAGCTTTATGAAAGTTCTTTGTGTGTTTTGAACTTAGTTATTATTATTATTATCATTATTATTATTATTATTAGTCTTTTTGAGACAGGGTCTCGCTATGCAGTTCAGCCTGGCCTTGAGCTCACTTTGTAACCCAGGCTGGTCTCGAACTCACAACAATCCTCCAGCCTACTGAGTGCTGGGATTACAGGCATGCGCCACCACGCCAGGCATGTTGAACTTAATTATTTTTTGTTTATTTTACTTATTTAGTTTTGCTGTCCTGGGATCAAGCCCAGAGCCTTGAGTCTTAGGCAAAAACTCTACCACTGAACTACATCTCTAGCCTCTTAATTATACTGTAATCAGCATTATGTTTACTGGTTTTGTCAGGAGCCTGAACCAGAGCAATAAGAAATAAGATGAGACAGTGCAAGCGTGGGTGAGAGGGGGCATAGCGTGGGGTAGCGGGGTTCAACCTCTGTCTCTCTGGAGCCTTTTGTCTGCCTTTGCAAGGATAAAGCTTTCATATTAATAGAATCTTCTGCTGGCCGCACAGGAGCTTTGTCAAAGCAGGAAGGAAAAAGAGGAATAAGAAGGTGTGGGGGAGGGGTGTTATGAGAGGAAAAGGTTCTCCTTTTTTTCTGCTCACAGTATGAATTAGAAATACACAGGGATATATGAAAAGAAATGTAGACTGCACCACTGATTCCTTTGTATACCTAAATTTTCTGCTTGAGATCAATGAAAATGCACATTTGCTAACACAGTGAAACCGCGGGAGAGCTGAGAAAGCCCTGGAGGCCTGTGTGTGTATTACAGGAGGAATGCTGTGTTAGGTTACTTTCTGGTTTTGAAGGGTACAAAGAAATCATTTGGTTGATGGAATGCTTCATAAGCTGTTGGGAATGCAGCTTACACCAATGTATACAACTGTTGAAATTCTGAACCCTTGCATCTCTGTGCATTTTATTAAATGTAAATTATATGTCAATTTTTTTTTTTTTGAGACAGGGTTTTGCTATATAATTTAGTCTGGCCTTGAACTCATGGGGATCCTCCTGCCTCAGCTTCCCAAGTGCTGGGATTATAGGCGTGTACCACCATATCTGGTGGTATTTCAATTTTAGAAATGGTTCACAGTTTTCTTTTCCTGATAGCAGAAATAATATATATTCATTCTAGAAAGTTAAGAAGTTGGCAGTAAGCACAAAGAAAGAAAATAAAAATTGCCTGGACTCTTATTGCCTAGCAATAAACACTGTTAGTATTAGGTCAGTGCTATCTGGATTTTCATTAGCTTACTTGCCCAGTTATGTTACCTAAGAAAGCAGATAGTTATCATAACATAGACATATTTTAACGACCAGGCCACTGATAAAATTAGCTCCTGTGCAAACATCTTCCAGTTCAACACTGCTTCCCTGCCCACCCATCCTGTCAGCGCCGAGCTTGTCAAGAAGCTGCTCCGGAATGTTGGATGTAAATATGCGCAAATGTAATGGAAATTAACCTGAAGTGGATTTTGAGTTTTTGAAAACAAGATGTGTTTCATGGATACAATGCTGGAAAACTATGGGGTGTTCAAAAGTCATTGACAACTGAGGTGTCAGAGCGGAGTAGCTGCTAAGAAATAAACAGGGAAGATGATTCCTACTTCATAAAGAAGGATTTGATTATACAAGACGAAAAGAAGCCCTCTGAGAAATAACAGAGCCCTGAAATTATCTGTGCCACAAAAGTGATGATAGTACTACAAAAGCTGAACATAGAGAGGTGAAAGACATTGTATTTCACTATCATACAATTTTGTCCAAAAGAAATATCAAAATATCATTCTAAAAATTAATTCCCCATGGAATACTTTGAAAATTGCTTTCTGTAACCAAGATTTTCACGTGTTAAGGTGCATAGGGATCCCCTAGAAATCTTGTTAAAATGCGCATTCTGATTTAATTAGGTCAGGGAAGGGACCCTAGATTCTGCATTCCTAACAAGCTCCCAAGAATGTGAATTCTGTTGGTCTCTGGTCTTTGTTTTGAGTAATAAGACTCAAACATGGCAGTATTAATTAGATTCACTTCATTATTTTTATTAGTGCATATTAGTTATATAGAACAGTGGATTTTGCCTTGGCATGTTTGTATATGCATGTAACAGACCTTGAGCACCTCGCCCTTAACTCCTTTCCCCTCCCCCCCACCCTTTTCTTCTACGCTAAAAATTTCCCTTCTATGTTCGAGTCATCCCTCTTGTTAAAAATTCTTTTATTTTTTCTGGATTATTCAAAAGACTCACTTTAAACAGACTTTATCTGGTACTAATTACCTTTGAGTACTGAGAAAGGTGTACCTATTATTCCAGTCACTTCTAATTTAACTGTTCTAGACCTGTGAAGTATGGAGTTCTCAAACAATGAACAAAATCACCTAGAGGACTTGTTTGAATGCAGGTTCTTTAATTCCACCTCTTGAATTTTGTATTTGTTAGATCGTGGTTGGGTCCAAACATCTATATTTCCAACTGATTTTGATGTGACAATGATTGCTCCTTGGACCATATTCTGTTCAGAATTTTTATTTTCTTCTTTGTGCTTGTGTGTATTTTCTAAACTTTCAAGAATGAATGCATGTTATATCTGTAACCATAATGATTTAGAATGAATGCAAAGAACTTCCAAGGAGTTGCTTATAACACCGAGCTTGGGCCGGGGATATAGCTCAGTGGCATAAGTGCCTGCCTGGCAAGCACAAGGTCCTGAGTGCAATTCCCAGTACCAAAAAAACAAAAACAAAAACAAAAACCCCAGCTTATTTGTAACACTTGCACAACAAAACAAAGACACAGATAATATGAACAAGCTGCAAGCATTTAAGTGTCTGAACATTTCCGATATTATTGAACTCAATGACACAACTCCCGACCCAAGGGTTCAGCTTTACTTTGCATAATACATCAACAGTCTTCTACTGTTTGGATTATTTTATATCATTTTATATATTATTAATTATATTTATAAAGACAGCAATGAAACTACATGGTAGGTCTGTTTAGATTATCAGTCGTATTTGTCTGTGTTGGTGGAGAAGGATTCACCCTTAATTCACAAGCTGTTACTCTGCCATCTTGTTGATTGTGCTTGAGTTATTAATATATGGAAATATAAGTTATTCACCACCCATAGACTCCTTTCAGAGATACTTTTGAGAGAATTACTTAGTTAAAAGCAGACAATACAACTAGAAAATCCATACACTTGTACTTGTGACCTGCATCAAATTCAGGGGAAAAACTATCATCAGAAAGATCTACTACCAACACCTTTGCTCAGAGAAACTCTCACTCAGGAAACTCCAAATTTTGATCACAACTCTTACTATTGTTATTCAGTCAATGAGAGTTTGCAACTGGCCAATAGTTGTACCTGTGATGCTGTGTCAGGTGCCCAGGGAAGAAGTAGAGTTTGTAGTACTGAGTGATTGTTTTTAGAATCAGATTCTGGTTTAGAACTGGCTCCACCACTGATTACAAGCTTTACGATCTTAAGCAAGCAACTAGATCATTCTGTCCCTCATTTTCTTTCATCTGTAAAATAAGAACATTGATACCACATTTTTCACAATGTCAATGTAAAATTTAAATTTAAATTAATGTTGTATGGTTGTATCTAGATGCCTCCCCAAAGCCTCATGTGCTCATAGGTGGGGAATATTGAAAGTGGATGGATTAAGGTGTGTGAATGTGGATTAAGGGTGCGATACTGGTTTTAAGGGTGTGGATAATGGAAGCCCCACCATGGATGTGAGTGGCACCAATCAATAGGCTTATAGCCTATATGGCATACAAAGGGACAGAAAGAAGGGAGGCTGTTGCTGTTTGCTGCTCACTTTCTTCTGCCTGCCATGCCATAAACTTTCTCTGTGATACCACCCTTCCTTGGAGCCAGCCAACTATGGACTGGACCCTCTACAAACTATGAGCTGAAGTGAACATTTCCTCCTTTATCTTGTGGATGTTGGCTATTTTGTTCCAGTAATGAGAAAAGTAACTAAGATAGTTAATATAATTAAAACACTTAAAACAATTCCTGGCACATTAAGAATGTATTAAATATTAACTACTCAAATACTGAATTAAAAGTCAGAAGATCTAAGTTCAAGTCTTGGCTCTGTCACTAATTAATTTTATGCTTTTTGACAAGCCATTTAATCTTTCTGACCTTTGTCTGCAAAACAAAGCTAACAATACAGGTACTGCCAAGCTAACAATGATATGTTTTTATATAAAACAGTACATGTAAATGTGCATTTAAAAATTGTGAATCACTGTACAAAAATAAGAATCTTTCTTTAAAATTGTATTTCATATATCTTATTGTATTTATAGCACAGGAAATGTTTTCTACTATAGAAAATGGTGAAAGTGGGAAAGTATTTTAGTGAATATTTTCTTTCTTTACATATTATAATCATTGATGTAGAATTCATTTTCATTTTTCTGATATTTTAAATGGAAGTCATTAGAGTTAAATTTCCCATGCATATGTTTATCACCGATCTTCATGCTGTGTGATGTGGTGGAAAGAATGTGGGCTTTGGGAAGAAAAGACTATCAGGAGTCCTCATCCCGCTGTCACCTTGTGCAGGTCACTGAGATGTTCTGAGCTTCAGTTTTACCACATGCGTAAGCCTGCTTTCACAGCCCACTTTCCGAAGACCTGGGTCTGGAAAGGACCAAAAATTATAAATATTCATAGTTGCTGTGGATAAGAGATAATGTCAGACCTACTTCTTGCCCAGGAATGGGTGACTTTTTTTTTCTTTGGTAAAAGACTAAATAGTGTAGTCAGGTGTAGTGGCACATTCCTGTAATCCCAGCGCTCTGGAAGGCTGGGGCAGGGGGATCATAAGTTTGAGCTCATCTAAAACTTAGTATCTTAGTGAGACCTTGTCTCAAAAGTAAAAAATAAAAATTTAAAAAGGCTAGGGATAGAGCTAAGTGAAAAAACCCTGGGTTTAGTTCCCAGTGCTGCAATAATAAACAAACAAAAACCAAATGGGCTACTAATGTAGCTCAGTGGTGGAGTACCTCTGGGTTCTGTACTAGTACCCCAAACAAAAAAAATTAAACAGTAAATAATTTAGGCTTTGTACACCAGTCTATCGGAAATCTCCAGACCTACCATTGTTGCACAAAAATATCATAGACTATATGTAGACAAATGGGCATGGTTGTGTTCTAATAAAACTTTATTTATGGACATTGAAGTTTGATTTTTCTTATAATTTTTACATGTCAGTATAAAAAGCCCTTCCTGGACTTCATCGTGGTTCAGTGAAGTTTATATTTGTAATCTAATGGAAATGTTTTTGGAGTTCCAGTAAGTTAATTCCAATCTACCACTTCCAGTGCAACCCATGGCGAGAATAAAGACACTAAGGATATGTGTAGTTGTGGGGAGCCAACGGGGTCATAAGTGCAGCTACAATGATAGCTAACTAGAACAAAGGCCTCGACCCAGGGTTGAACCAGGGTTTCATTAATTTGTGAAGAGGGGCGTGGCTTGAGGATGAGTGACTGCAAGAGTGGTGGGAAGTGTATGAGTGCTGTGAGCTGGGTGTTATGGTTTGTGTCTGTGTGTCCCCCCAAAGCCTCATGTGGTCATGGGGCAGGCTTTTAGAGTTTGATTGATTATGAGTGTGAGAGCTGCACCCACCCTGGAGTGTATAGTTTGCATATGTAAGGGAGAGCAAGAGGCTGCTTGC